GACCTTACCAGTGCCAAAAAGAGGGGAATAATCTCTTCCTTCAGTCTGCTGGCAATGTTTTTATTAATGCAGCCCAGAATGCTGTTAATCTCCTTTGCAAAAAGGGCACACTGTTGGCTCATATTCAGGTTATTGTCCACAGTAGCCCCCAGGTCCTTTTCTGCAGAGCTCCTGCTTAGCTAGCCAGTCCCCAGTGTGTGCTGGTGCCTGGGATTGTTCCATCCTAAGTGCAGGACTTTGTATTTGTCCTTTTTGAACCGAATGGCCATGTCTAGACAAGCACAGCTGTGCAGCATGTGGGGCTGCATGCATGTCTGTGGCGCCACATTGCAAGGGAGCAACATGAAGGGTTTTTTTGATCCACAGATATTTATGGGGTTAAAAAAAAATGTGGAAAAAAAAGCAGAGTGGCGCGTGTGGGGGCAGCATGCACCCCTCAAAACGAGAGCCGGGCTTGCTGGAGCCATAGTCCAGCTGCCAGCCAAGCTCCATAGAGCTGGATTGCCACTGCTGAAGCCCTGAGAAGCCCCCAGGATCTCAGGTAAGGCTTCTGGGGCCAGCCCAGTGCTGGCCCAAGCCTCTCCTACTCCATCCGAGGTAACTTGCCATGTGCCAGAGGGTGTGTGGCACAGGTATTTCTTAGGGACAACTAGCGGCAGCACAAGATGCACCACTGCTTGTTGTCCCCAGGGAACCAAGTGTCCACACAAGTGTAGACATGGCCCATGATTTCTTTTGGTCCAGTCCTCCAATTTGTCTAGGTATCTCTGAACCCTACCCTACCTTCTAGCATATCTACTACTCCCCCAGCTTGGTGTCACCTGCAAACTTGCTGAGCGTGTATATGAATGACAATAGTACACGCAGGCACTGTATGTTAAGGATAGTATAGACAGTAACAGCATAAAAATCTTACCTAAAAAGACAACTATTTTAGAATCCCTGTGGGTAGAAATTCTGTACTTGAATAAAAAGAATATATTACTAGGATTGCACTACTTACCACCTGATCAGGAAGATAAAGGTGATTACGAAATGTTCAAGGAAATTAGAGATGCTGTTAACATGGGGCAAACAATAATAATGGGAGCCTTCAGCTAGCCTCACATAGACTGGATAAATACCTCACTAGGGAAAGATGGGGAAGTAAAATTTTTGGATGTGATAAATGACTGCTTTCTAGAACAACTCACCTTGTAACTCAGCAGAGGAAAAGCAATTCTATACCTAATCTTGAGTAACACACAGGACCTGATTCAAGATGTATCTGTTGGTGAGCCAGTCTGTAATAGTGACCGTAACACACATTCAACATTCTCGCAAGAGGGAGTAACTCAAACAAGTCCACCCCACCAATGTACAGCTTCAGAGAAAGAAATTACAAAAAGATGGGGAAGTTAGACGCTGCGGAAGTTAAAACACTTCAGGCAACTTGGAAACTATTTAAAAATACTACTTTAAAGGCTCGGGAAAAGTGTATACCGCAAGTCATGAAGGGTACCAGTCAGACCAATAAAATTCCTTCATGGTTTAAGGGGTTAAGGAAGCCATTCAAGGCAAAAAGGCAAAGGAGCAATCCTTCAAAAAATGGAAAGCATGCCCAAGTGAAAAGAACAGGAAAGTCCACAGACTTAGGCAGGTAGAGTGTAAAAGTTTAATTTGAAATACAGGGTCATGTTGTGATCAGATCTGGCCTGCAGACTGACCCTGTGCCATTTATTTGACGCCAGATAAGCTGAGCACCACTGAAATGGATCATTGTTTCAAGGACTAAAATTATATAAGTCGACTCTTGGCAATAGGTGAAGTTTAAATCAGAAGCAATTTCATAAAAAAGCCAAATCGTTTACCCTATTAAATAGCAGAATATTTTCTCTACAGATGGAAAGCTTCATTACTTAAGTCATTTAAATCCTCCCTAGACATGGACCTCAAAAAGTCTGTAGAGATTAAATCTGTGTTGGCAAAAGGACGGACTAAGGTGATCAACCATACAAAGACCTTTTCCACAATACTTGTGATTGCTGAGAATTATAGGTTTATGTTATAAAACAAATTTACAATTGCAACAGCTGCCAGACTGGCAATGAAAGCAAATACACTAAAGACTCATTTTTCAGAAAGAAGCAGATAACCTCTAGCCCTTTATAATGCCAGGTGCCTATGAAGTAACAAAAGCTTTTATCTGCTGAGGGAAGAAAATGATGAATGTAGGGTTTAGGCAAAGGAAGTAGAAATAGTTTATTCTGGTGGGTGGGAAGGTTTTTTAGGTGATCTTTTATCTCAAGTCTATCTGTATTTATGATTACATTTTGCCTTGAGCCATAAAAAAGTCTGTTACATATTAAAATAAATAAAAGGTATGTTTCCAGACCAACTTTTAATTTGCTAAACTCATTTATTTCTACTCTTTGTTTTCTCCCTCTCAATCAGTTTCTAGTACATAAAAGTCCATTATGTCTCACCCTGTGATTACTCTTAGTTTCCTTAATAGCCTCTGGTGATTTTTAAAACTCTAAATAAATTATATCTATCACTTTTCAGTTATCCACTATTTTGTTAACTCCCTGAAGGAATTATAATTTGTAGGAAAGGCAATTTTCCTTTTGGAAGCTGTGTTGGTTTGTCCCTATAATAAGATGCTCATCTTAGTGTTTTATAACTCTTGTAGTTATTTTCAGCTAATTTTCCAGATACTGTAGTAAGGCTCATTAGTTTATAACTTCTGGGCTTACTCCTACTCCACATCTTAAACAAAAATAAAGCATCCTCTACCCTCTAGGTCCTCCAGATTTTAACAAGCACATGGCTTTGTCAGGACTCAGGCAAATCCTTCTTAAGTATCCATAGAACACTTGAGAAAATACCCTTCATTTCTGAGGACTTAATATAATTTAAATGACTAATATATCCCAGCCCAAATTCCTTCTTCTGACACCTTGATCTCCAAGACTGTATTTTCATTATTTTATTCTCTAAAAGCAATTTTGACAAAGGCGTATCTCCATTTCCCTCCATAATAAAGGCTGATGCAAACACGTCTTTGAAGTTTAGCATTTTCAAAATGCAGATTAAGCTAGACTTATAGTTCCATATTTAGGCTCCTTTGAATATATGGCTGACTATAGAATAATTCACCAGCCATAATTATGTTTTTAGTATTTTTGAAAGTCTTGCAATAGCTCTAAGTTCATTTCAATCCTTTAAAATTTGGCTTGAAAATTATTTTTTCCTATTTTCCCTCAAATAGTACAGAATAGTTCGAAGTTGTATAACTGCCAGTGTGCTAATGAAAGCAAATAAACTAGACTCTTTGTTTTTTAAGAGAAGCAGATTTTTTTCAGCTTCATTAAATATAAAAATGGGCAACATACTTGGCGAGTCCATTATTAGAATCACATATGATACAAGTTCTTTACATGAATAAGTCTGCCAGTTGTCATTTGCAGTTTTACTCTGCAGCATCAGTTGGTATGCAGACAGCAAATAATGGGTGCAGATGCTATGTCTACATTCTGGGGGAAAACATACTTGGCACAGAACAACAAAAGAAATAAATTTTCTACCCTTAATTGAGTGCTCAAATATTAAAGAATGCAAGTCAGGAACTGATATATTATCTTTATACTTTTCCTGTAAAAAATAAAATTATATTTTATGCATGTGAAACAAATTTTGTTGGATTGTTTGAAATGACGCACCAGTGTACTATTAAATAAAATAATTTCATGAATTTTCTTCAAAAAGTATTGAATTTCATGTACATATTGTTTTGCTAGGCTAAATGGTAAATTATACCTTTTACATTTTTTAGCAAAATAGATATGTTGACTGGCATAAGAACTATAGGAATGATTAACCATACACTGAAGCAATATAGTGCTTGCTTCAATTTTATACTCAAATAACTCCATGTATTTCATTGGAGTTAAAGCAGCAGAACACTGGAGTGGTGAAGTAGGCCTCTGGTTCTTAAACTTCACACGTACTTCCTTATATATTTTACTTTATAGTTTGCTTATGTATTGTATGCAGTAAAGAAGAGTCTAGACATTTCAGAATCGATGACTCATCTAAGCTGACCCATGATGATACCTATCTGTATCTGGGGACTTGATTTACAGAAGCACAGATTTTTTCCCACTACTGATGGTTAGCCTATAGGCATCATTACACATTTCTCCTCTACTTCTTTGCTCAAGTTCAAGCTTTCTCAAACTCTTTTACATTCTAGGAGGGGACAGTTCAGCTTGATACTATATTTTGAATTCAATCTAAGTCCTTGTTCATGTGGAGTGAACCAAAAAACTTTTACTCATGTAAAATCCTTAAGTACGCCAACAATCTCTTTAGTATCTATTGGAACACACACTTGAATAAGGGTTTGTATGGTGGGGTTAATCATTAAGCACATTGACATCAGTTATATTACTCATATGAGCAAGGGCCGTGGGACTGAGTTCTATTTCTATCTAAGCACCTAGGTGGAACCCATCATCTAGGTATCTTATATGTAGTATCTCACAGACATTAATATTTATTCTCACAGTACCCTTGTGAGCTAGAGAAGTATTGCTGTTTTACAGAAGGAGAACTGAGACACAGGGGTTGCATCTACATGAGACACTGAGGAGTTGCCTATTTAGCTCCATAGTAAAACATCATCGTCTATATGAGTGGTGCTATTAGGCAAGGGTAAACTAATTAATTCTGCTGTAGGATAGTATTGCCCAACACAAGTACTCTTCTCTTCTGGAGTTATTTACTCTGCTGTCGTGCGCATGTAGGCGGTGACTAGAGCTAGCTGGGGCACAAGGGTGCTCCAGGGCGGGGGTGCCCGCCAGGTAACCCCACACTGAAGCACCCTCATAGCCCAGCCATCCCCTCCAAAGCACACTGAGCTGGCGAGCGGATGGAGAAGCTCAGGGCTGGCAGGCTGACCCCTTGGACTCCTTGCCAGCTGGGACTGTGCTGCCACGGCTCACATACTGCAGTACTTAACCAAGTAGTAAATGACTGCGCAGTGACTAGTTTTACTGTTAAGTTCCATCACTGCACAGGTATTTTTAGACACTACTACACAGTAGCAATGAGCTACTACACAATAGCTTATTACTATGCAGTAGCATTGTGACCACAGTTCGTGCCTAGTGACACTATGGTGCTGTAGCAATGAGCTGCTGCACCGTAACACCTCATGTTGATGTGTCCAGTAAGACTAAAACCTAGCTCTATAAAGGGACTTGGGAGTTGCTAGACTACTGAAGAGGCTTGCCTCAGGGATGACTGCTTTTACCATGCCCTCCCCCCTCAACTCCTGCATGTAAGCTGCAAACCCAGAAGGACTCTGAGGCCATTTTAGGTCTGTTCCCCAAGGGCCACTGTCAAACTTACTGGAGACCGGAGATCAGGGTGTGGTTGAAGAGGGGCATATAACTATCACTGCATTGACCTTAGAAGGTATAAAAATCAGGCATATACTTCATGCTATCACTTCAGCCCAAGAAAGCCAATTCTTATGTTAATTACACTCAACATCTTAATGTCTCAAAAAGTATGTATAACGAAGTTGTATTATTCATCACGGTATCAAGTCCTTAAGAAAACAAACTGGTAAAAACAAAGCACAGCAACGGAAAAGTGGGGCAAAAAACCAAAAGTAATAGGCAGAGCTTCCTCCACCCTTTTCAGAAGGACAGTTATATTATGAGATAATGAGCTACCTGTAATTCTGAGAGTGAGGTTACATACTATGCTTAGACCGTACTATGGGCACTTGTGCTGAGTGTTCTCTGAATGTCTCAAAATTACACCACTTTAGGCAAGAGTTAACTCTGGGATGTGCTACTTAGTTTGTGCTAGGATAACTTCAGTCTGCTCCACAGAGATACAACAAGCAAATTGAAGTCCTTCAGCATCCCAGGATGCACAGATCCCCTCTCCCCTCTGTGCCCCCACTCCCTCAAGGATTGTTGATGAAGACCTGGCACAGTCATAACAGTCTCTGGCCCTTTATCTAATTCTGAAGCTACATGCATGCATGTGTGACCTGAGGTGTCAGGGAAGGGGCCAGACTACTTAAAGAAAGCAGGGAGCTACATTTACATTTCAAAGTAGAACCTGTAAGTGGTGAGAGACTGGAATACATGAGAAAAGGAAAGACAGTAATGCTGAATGCATGAGAGTCATGACAGACATAGGATTCTTGGAGGCATTTAGTATTTTGCCTAAACAGGGAATATTAATTAATATAAAGCTTGTAAGTTTGTAAACTGAAAATGTAACTTGTCTGTCATAAGTTTAACCAAAATGATAAAATTAACTGTTCATGGAACTAACTGGGCCCCATAGGCAAAGCTGTAGCTGTAAGGTTAGGAGACCTAACGGTTTTTTGCTCAGGGTTCAGCCTTGATGATAAAACTGGATCTAACTGCCTGGCACACCCAACACATTCCAAGAAAACATATCCCACGAAAGCATATACAAATGAAGCCTAAAAGGGGTTGGAACTTAGGCGGAGCAATGTCAATTTCTAACCTAAAGGTGCTGAATCATAATTTGCTTATTGGATAAACCCTAGTCTGGGTTTACCTTTTATGATAATTTTAACACCTTTCAATCTCATAGGATAACAGCTATAGGGCAACATTATAAGTGGCTCTGAGGCCAACAGATTAACATAAGACTAGGTATAAAAAGCATGTGCATCAGGTAACCAGCAGGAAGGAGGGAACAGAACGGTCATTTCTGTCCCACGCCCGGACCCCAGACTCCTGGTTTAAGTGAGGATCGGATCCTGATCAAAGGACCCACCCTGGTATCCCTCTGACAGCCTCGATCGGGGACACTTGACTTTGCTGGAATCACTTGACACGTACCTGGCATTGAAGAACTATCGATAAGTTGCCAACCCCTGTCTGTCTATCTGTTGTTTTGAACAGCCGAGTGGCTAGCACCTTCACAGTGCCCAGTTGGCCTGCGACAGAATTGATCTTTCTGTTGTTATTATCTGTTGTTATTATTTACTATTAGCTCTTTAATACTGCATTATCTGCTTATTGCATTTATCTTTCTGTTAAGTGTTGTGTGTGTGTAGGCTATAATAAATTTGCCTTCACTTCGCTCCCAACTTTCCCTCCTCAATCCAAAACTGAATCAAACAGCCCAGTTGGCCTGTGATAAAATTGATACACTCACAGTGCCCAGCTGGCCTGTGACAGACCATCCTTACTGGCTAAGAAGACCTGGCTTGCAGTCCCCCAGAGAAATTTCTGAACTAGCTACAGACTCTGATTTCAGGACTAAATAGGAATAATGCAAGGTTGCTGTTGTATCTAAACTGTGTGCTGTGTATTGTTGCTGCATCTTATTTTATGGTGTCTTAACGGAGGCAAAGTTTTTTCTGCTGTTTTTTTTCACAGACTTGAAATTGCAAATTTCTGTGCTCAGTAAACACACTTCAGGGAATGGATTATTGTTCAAGCATTCATAAATTTAGTGCCACTACATAAAGTCTAATATTAAGTCTGGTAACAAGATGGAACCCAGGGTCAGGTACAGACCTTACACTTTTACCAGTATAAATGATCAGAAACCAGTCTATATCTGTAACAGAAAAGAAGTTTGGCACACACAGACTGGTTTAAAAATGACAGAATCTGGTCTAAGAACCAAAGGGTGAATATTAGGGCTGCACAAAATTTCACCAAGTGTTTCATTTCAACACATTTCGAGGTAAAAAAACTAAATCGAAACAAAACAAAAAGCTTTGAAACAGCTTCAAAATGAAATGAAGGCACTCAAAATGTTTCAAAGTTTTGAAGCAGCCCAGTGGTGGGAGGCAGGGGAGATCCAGGGCTGTGCTCTGAGCAGCTCTGCAGCCCCACCGAGCTCAGCTCAGAGGTGGGAGGTGGAGCACAGCCCTGCCTCTGCCTGTCTCCTGCTACCGGGCTGAGCTCCGTGAGTCTTGCAGAGCCAATCGGAGTGCAACCCTGGCTCTCCCTACCTCCCACCACTGGGCTGCAATCCGAGTGGCTCTGAAGCCCCATGGAGCTCAGCCTGGTGGCGGGAGATGTGGAGAGCCAGGGCTGCACTCTGCCTCCCACTGCCAGGCTGAGCTCCATGGGGCTGCAGAGCTGCTCAGAGCACAGCCCTGGCTCTCCCCTGCCTCTGCCTCCTGGGCTGGATGATAGGAGGCTGCTGCTGGTGCCTGGGATCAGCACTGGGTGCAGCCCTCACCCAGGGCCAGTCCCAGGTGGCAGCGGCAGCCTTCTGTCATCCAGCCCAGATCTGGGGGCCCACACCCCTGGGAGGAGTCTGACACAGCCCCACAGCCATCCCAGGGTTCAGGCCCCTGATCTGCATGCCAGGTGACAGGAGGCTGCCACTACCGGCAAGTGTCACAAGTTTTGCTTTTTGCAATTTGAGGTGCAGTTTCTGAGAAACCTCTGCATCTATGAAACTTGGCAGGCATTGTGCCCTCACAAGGGGCTCCCATCCCTCCAATATTAATTAATTTAGGGCCGATTACCCCCCCCCCATCTTGTGCACACACCACGCTGGCTTACCCGCTTCGGCAGGGAAGGGAGGGCAAGCTGCCAGTGGTTAGAGCAGTCCCTGAGTTGTGGGTGGAGCTGCTTCTTCCCTCCATGGCACTGGTGGCACCCCCCAGGCAGCACCTGCCCGCAGTTGTGGAGGAAAGCACCAGGCCCCTGTGCAGCTCAGACAGGCAAGCAGGCTCCAAGTGAGGGGGGAAGATCAGGTGCGCTGCTTTTTCCGTGCAGAGCCTGCTTTCCTGGGCTGCTGTCAGGCTGCCTGCAGGGCTTTCTCCAGAGCCATGGAGCTGCTCGGAGCCTGGTGCTTTGCTCCACAGCTATAGGGGCAGCAAACTAAAGCTCTTTCAAGGAATTTTAGTTTGCTGTGCCCCGTCATTTAAGGCACATTACACTGCTGAATTTCCTACAGCGGCTGATATTAATGCTCAATATGCCGCCAAAGCATGCAAACACCGACACCACTGAAGTGGTGCAAAAGCATTTAGACCATTTAAAGTGTTGTGTACACATGCCTCTTGTTTCACGTACACAGAGACACTTGAACACTGGCAGGAGAACATTTTTCACAGAAAAAAAATTGGTTCCTGCCTGACCTCATAGTTCTGAAAGTAAATCTACTAAACACCTTTGAAAAGTGAGCATAAGCATAGGCAATTAGCCTACTGGACAGTAACTACCAGGGACTTAATAAATACAGCGACTTCATGATTCTTTATAATCTAGTTGTTTGTCAGTAATCTCTGCACATCACAGGTGATGACCCCCCTCCGAACAATCTTGCTCTTACATTATCAGGTTTTTACTTCATCTCTCTTGTCTGTTGGCTACCTGGTAATTTTTCATATATTCTGTTTTTATTTTTTTTCCATCTCCTGCTTTGCTCTGCTCTGTCTGTTTCTCTCCCAGAGACCTGAGGAAGGGTATTATAGTTTCTGAAAATGTGTTTGAGTCTATCCCATCCATACAGTTGGTCCAATAAAAGACATGGTCCACAAGAATTGTTGCCTTTCACATATTTCCTAGACCATCATAGCAAAAACGTCATTTCAACATTATTAATTCATTAAGGATCCTCAGTTCTCAGTTGCATGTCATTTTCACACTGGTGTAAGCTACTTTGCTTTGGTCTGAAATTTCCTTTAAACCTGTACCTTCTGAGCAAAATTCATGGTTACAGCTTAGGATAGACTAAGTCAGTCCCCAAATTAAGATCTGTTGTGGACTCATTAACTTCTAATGTAGAACTATCACTAGAGGGAGATAAAAATCCATTCTGTCTTAGTGTAGGAGAGGATAGCAAAGAAATGCAATACATATACATATATATTTGTCTAAACTGTCAAATTGGGCAGTTTCCATCATATGTAAAATGAATGGCATGACAATGCATTACTGGCCTTCATTATCCATGATTTTCTACTTCTGTAATACTTCAGGTGACAGATGATCCATTGCATTTGTATTCTACAGCTTGCTTTATGTTACTTCAGCAGAAGTTTCATTTCTTTGTATTATCCTACAATCTCACCAATATGAAAACAAAAACAGAACAAAAAAACCCATTGAAATTTGGAGAACTCAGGTAGTAGAAAGTTAGTGAGCAAATGATTAGTTTTGACATGTAAATCTGTAGTGGAAAATGGCATTTTTTTCCCCACACTGCTAATTATATAACATGAACAAGTGAAAAATATATACTCTTTCCTGCTTTTCAGAGCAAATATACATAATAAAAATCACTCAAGAGACCTGTCACAACACAGAAAATACTGGGTATTTTTTCCCCCTTTACTAGTCTAGTGTCTTTAAATCATATGATTCTCTTGTTACATCTGGCAGTACTGCAAGTTGACAGATGTAAATTTCCTAAGTGGCTACAAATATCTTTTGCTGAAGTCTATTAAAAACAATCCATTCAACACGGAAACAGACATGCACACGTTTGCATGCTCACATACACAAACACATTCTTATGAGTATGCCAATGCAAATTTAATACCACACAACAATGAGAAGGATTCAATGAGCTACCACAAGGTAAAGTAAATAACACATTTTGGTATGTCATGGTCTCATGAGTACTCAACTTGTTACAGTCCATCTTAAGAAAAGCTAATTGAATGCACAATTTATCTCTGTGAGAAAAAGCACTTCTCTATCAAGATCAACTGCAGTAGTCTCTGGTAAATTAAAATCCAAACTCCATAGCAAACTACTGTATCCCCTATGTCTGTTAAAATAAATTATCATTATCATTAAACTTAGAGAAAAAAAACCCCAGGCAAACACTTTTTCATGGAAAAAAACATGTGAAGAAACATGTGTATTTCCCCCATTTAGTGAGCTATTTCAATAAACTATGACAGCAACAGTTTCTATGAAAGGTACATCAAAAGGCAATAGTAATGTACTCTTCTTCCTACAGTCTTGGCTATATGCCTAACCCATATCTCAAGGGGCAATTTCTATTCTCTTGCCTGTAGTCTCAAATTCTTAACCTTGTAATTAAAATCTTAGAAGAAAATTAAAGTCAATGGGAAGGTACCATTTTTAAAACTCATAAAAGGTATTCATGTCTAAATACACACAAAGGATACCATTAATATTATTTGGCTGTGAGTTCCACAGGTTGTAATGAATTCAATAACTTAGTAAAATTTGAAAGAGTTGGAAGTGATATATAATGCACACATAAAATGAGAATATCCATAATTATACTAGAGGTAAGAGATGTAAGGGTTTTTTTGCCACAAATCATGAACCAATCTTTATGTGTCACGGTTCAGAAAAAGCTACCCATCTGAGCAGACAATTTAATGTCTACTATAGACCTAGTTTCTCCGAATTTTGTTGTGAAAACTAATTATCACATATGCCAGGGGTAAGTCATCAAGATCCTGAATTTTGCTCTTCCCCATTAAAAATGTTGTCTTCACTGCATAGGTGACGACTTTTGCTCCCATGTTCAACTGGAAAATATTATATTGATTTTTAATATGTGAATACTTGCAAATAGTTACTTTCTCCAAATTTTAGTCTCTGCTAAAGATGTATTTGGCAAAAAACAGATTCACCCTTATGTAGGGTAAGAAAGAATGCCACCTAGGACTTAAATACTAAGGTAGAATTTTCTTTTTTATGGAAATGAGCATGAGCACAAATTTACTACATAACCATGGATCGTAACATTACAATTATAATCCATTTTCAGAATCCTGTACCATATTTGCAGATCTAAGCTTTCATTCTGTTTCAGGAATTTTTTTTTTCCCTGCATGTCATAATTATCACAAAGTGTGGGAGGAATCATAACATTTAGCTACTTGCTGAGACACAGAGCTGCACTGCCCCATGTGGAATATGCTTGAAGGGTGGGAAGAAATGTCCTAGGGAGGCATCACTCCTTCACAAGTTGGCAAAGTGTGTGTAGAGGCTGTACTTGCTCCATTGTCTTTTAGGTTCAGTTTCCTAAAGTTAATTCAGTTGCTCTTAAAGGCACTTAAGAGTGGATATCAGCCTCATTTTACTTCTAGTCCAAAAGCCAAGATTTCATACAGCAGTATAGCAGCATATAAATCAATATTAAATTGAAGACTATCCTGAGTTGCTGATACAGACCTCTCTTTGAAGTAACTGATGTCTTGTGTAATACTTTGACAATCCAAGAACCATAGAAACATTAAGGGCATTTATACACATGCTGTAGGGGGAAGAAGGGTGCTTTAATTAAAGCTGTTCTAATGAAAGCATCCAGAGTGTCTCTTGTATCAGTGTCCCTGTGCTTCAAAATGGTGGTGGGGGTGAATGAGTATTAGATAAATCACCCCTGCCACCATTCTGAAGTGAAGGGATGCTGATACATGAGATGCAGGAGGCTGCTGTAGTGTGGTAATTGCCACACTCCAGCAGACTCGATTAATCCCCTGGAATTACAGTGCATCAAAGCAGCCTCCCTGCTTAGGCATCCTAAGGGTTTATACTAGCCAAGCACAAATGCACATAGCTTGTAAATTCCAGCAAGAATCAAACACAAATCAGGATGTGGAAAGGCAGCAGCTAAACTTTGAATACAAAAAAGCAAATATTCCACATGGTGGGGGCTGATGAAAGAGTACTTTATTTCAAATACAAGGCTTCTTTTTATGTCAGCGACACTTAAACTACTACTAGGTCCAGAGTTCTCTCTTCAGTAAACCTGATTATATGCATTTAATAAGCCATTAGCATTGTGGTTGACATGGGAAAATCTCTCTTTACAATGGAATCATACTGATTGTGTTTTTTAAATGGAAAATTCAAACAAAGCACAAATAAGCAGGAAAAAAAATCTAAAAGACAATCTAATGAAACAATGTGTTAAATATGCAATGTTTTTGAATAGACAGCAAGAGATCTGCAATATGGTGAAACTTCACCAAGTGACTATGAATTAGACTGGCACCTAAAATTTAACTCATTTGCCCTCTCTACCATCTCTTTCCCTGTACAAATCTTTCTCCATCAAATCAAATCAAATCAAATCAAAATCACAAACCCTTCTTTTCTATCATATGATAATTTAAAGTTTTGAATAGAAGTTTTAGTGGTTTTCTTAGACTGATCACTTCGTGAACTTGGGGGATTCTGGTTAATTGCTTTCTGCCTATATATATTCCCAATTCAGTTTTCATTGGATTCAGTAGTCACATCTTGTGTTGTTTTGGAATAAAGCAGATGCCATTCCTGTCCTGGTTTTGCCTGCTTTATGGTCCTGGATGTAACAGTTCTCAGTAGCAGTAAAGGGTTGTACAACAATGGGCTACCCAATTAAATAAGCATGTTCCTGCACTGTGCATCAGTTCTGCCTTCTGAATGGATATATCATAGACTACTGTAGTACACTAACGTAAACTATACCTACTAATATCTCATGTTTAAATAGGGTGTATCTACACATGCATATTGATGCAACACAATGAAATCCAATGCATATCATGTTTACACATGGAGGTGGGACCGCAGCAAGTTCAGCTGGGTTGGAGAATCCCCAACTGGCAGGGCACCTAGGGAGCCAGCCTGCCAGCCTGGGACTGCTCCAACCTGGCTCAATGTGCTGCAGAGGGGTTGGTTGGGGCACAAGGGTGCTTCAGTGCAGGGCTAGCCAGCTAGAAAAGGAGCAATACAAACAATCCAACAATTCTATATAGCTACCAAATCCTAGGGCTATCATCAAAGAATATCTGGCCAGGATGCAGTATTCACTATGAGGCTGTCTTTAGTTGCCAGATGTCAGCAGCTTAGAGGTGGGATGCTGAAGCCCACCCCCTCCAGTGGGGTGGATGAGATGGACTGGTGGTGTATCCTCTGTCGATGGTGGCCTTGGGAACCATTCCCAGGGCATGGGGACAGGGCTCCCTCTTGGGGACGAGAGGGAGGAGGAACAGAGAGGAAGCATTCTTTGTTTCTCTCAAGTCTCTGCTTTTTTTTCTTCTTCCCTCCTGATGACTCCTGATGACTCTTCATCTATGGCTATTGCTGGTTGGTCTCTTTGTGTGGACCCTTACCCCCAGGGTCCAGGAGCTAATTTTAGCCCCCTCACCCCACCACCCTCAACCCCCCCAGCAAACATTCCCCCCATTTCTTCTTCCCTTCCCACTAACCCAGCTTCCTTAGTTCCCAGCATTGATGAACACTGATAAAATCAACACTGGGTGTAGCTTACAGGATGGGGGTGTCTGAGTGTGGGAAGCATTTAGGGAGCCAAAAATAGCCCAGTGCCAGAGACGGGGTAGGAAAAGCACAGCCCCAGGGCTGAGGCCAGTGGCTGGGCTTTCCCAGCTCCAGGGCTTCACTGGAAAGTGTACAGAAATCTAGCTTGATTGGTTTTGCTAGACCCAAGTTAAGTAAGAGTAGCTCAGAGGTACACTTAACTTAGATTAGTTTGGCCATTTTAGACTGATTTAAGTGTCCTGAACTTCTGTAGTTCACATGTAGATCCACCTAATAGTGTTAAGTCCACACTTGGAACAGCTAAGTTAGATGGAGTAGCCATTTTTACCGTGATCTAACATCCCTCTGACATCCCTGAACTTCTGTACGCAGCAGACAACGTTTCCCTGCACACTATCTTCCCAAGTATGCTACTTTATAAAATCTATTTTACCTTTATTAAAAGGAAAACGTTGATTGGCAATCAATTTTTAATATGAACTAAAAGCTGTTGGGGACCCCACAACGCCTTAATTTTATTTAGCATATTTTTAGCTTTTTTTGTTTTGCTTTTGTAAAATAGTGATCAGGTGCACCTTATTACCAAAAAAACAACAACAACAACAAAAAACAACACCAAAAAAAAGGAAAGAACAGACCCCCTCCCCTCCCAAAGCTCAAACCAGTTAATGAGAATAGTAGAATGGCCTAGGCGCCAGATTTCCACTGAAATTACATTTTAGCATAATAGAACACCTGCTTGCCTCCAAAGTAGGTTGCCTTCAGAAACTGCATTTGAGAATTTGTGAGAGCCATATTAAATAATAACAACTTATATCTCATAGTGGTTCCACTGAGAGCATTTAATGAGCACGCCCAAGAAAATTATTATAACAAAAGCTAATTTGTTACTTTTTCCAGTTATCTATTCTGTTACTCTTGCCCATTAGTGAAGTTTATTTTTCCCCCAGAATCTTCTTCCACTTTCAATGCACCATAATTAGGTTAATGCACAGTCAGACTGAGATTTAAAAGACAGCTAAGATTTAACCGACAACTGAATGAATGGGCATTGGTTTAGTGCAGACGGAATTAAGAGGATAGTTCAGAGTATCATCTATTAGCAATTTTTTAGAGGTGGACATAATATTGCAAAATGATTTCTTTTGTTATGGCATGTATATTGTAAAAGATAATGTTAGGAAATCAACAGGATAAAGAATTTTTAGAAAATCAACAGCGTAAAGAAAAACATGAATTACACAGGCACCTATTGGTAGGCAAAGATAACTGTGCTGTGAGTTTTAAGGGAATATATTGTTGAAATTCACAAAAAAAAGGTTTCAGTGAAAGAACATGGAAAAGTGTTATGGCATCCCAGTGAACAAGACAGGTGTGATGCTATTACTTATCCCCATTTAGAGTCTAAGGACAAAGCATGTCATACAAGTAGTCAGAGAAGTGAGAATTAGCTTATATAATACCAAGCCTGATGGCTTCCCTAGCATTATACAGTTTTGGCTACTTTATTTTAAAACAGCTGCTGGATGAGGAGAAGTATCTGGGGCCCTAACAGGCAGCTCAGCCAGAACTAATTGTCCAGTAGCTTAAAATATGCCAGAGGTTACAACTGGCAGCCTCTTGCTGGCTGATGAACCATCTCACTACTGTTAGGGTCTCCTGCAGTAGCACCCCACTTTAATTCCTGCTCCACCTTTAAAACCAACTGCTGGGAGGGGAGGCAGAATCACTATACTTCATAGCTTGTTCTTATCTCCCTGATTCAGGCATCTGCAGGTGTCCTTTTTAATGGTTTTAATGGTTTTGATGTTCCATTATTCAAACCAGCCTTTTTTCTGAAATGTTACTGTTTGTTAGGTCTTCTTAGTAGTGTCTGTCTGCTGTTTCACAGCCCTAAAGACTGCCTATAGCTCTAGCTAAAAAAAATAAAAATAACTCAGATATGGTAATATTAACACAGGTATAGACATGGCTGACAGTGAAGCACTGGAGGCACTGTCAAGACACTCAAAGACAGATTTAGTTTTATGAATCTGAATAAGAAATGTACATTTAACTACAGTGACTATGGGACTACTGCCACAATTCTGTTGAACTATTTTGACTGTTTTGTTCACAGATTTCATGGACATTAGGGCTGGAAGGGACCTCAGAAGATCATGGAGTCCAGCCCCCCCCGCCCAAAGGACAGGAAGTCAGCTGGGGTCATAGGATCCCAGCAAGATAAGCATCCAGTTTACTTTTGAAGGTGTTCAATGCAGGTGCTTGAACCACCTCCGATGGCAGGCTGTTCCAGACCTTGGGGACTCGGACAGTAAAGAAATTCTTCCTGATGTCCAGTCTTGCAGTAGTTTATAACCGTTCGACCTCGTCATCCCTTGGGGCGCTCTGGTGAACAAATGTTCCCCCAGATACTGGTGGTCACCCCTGATAAACTTAAAGGTGGCCATCAGATCACACCTGAGCCTGCATTTTTCCAGGCTAAAGAGTCCCATGGCTCTCAGCCTGTTGTTGTAAGGTCTGTTTTCCTGACCTCTGAACATGCATGTGGCTCTTCTCTGGACTCTCTCAAGCTTCTCCACATACTTTTTGAA